TGAACACAGGGCAGTGAGCCCTCCTCCACCAACTCGTCGGAAGGTGACCAAGTGCTGCCGAGGGGCCTTATCGACCGGCCCGGTGACCAACTGCCACCTCGAGGCAAGAAACCTCAAGTTTCGTTGGAGGAAGTGGAGGACGAAGAAGCATACTTACGGTCCGACCTTCCGACCTGCATACCGAGAGGGAAGTCGCCCGTGACCCCTAACTCGGGATCCCGACCCGAGGATCGAAAACCTGTTCCGGACACATACTACGAACCCTTCAGGCTACACTGGACCCGGAGGGCGTTGCGACTCGCGACGGACGAAGCAGCCGCCTTCGCCACTCTCCACCGATGGGTGCATCCCCGGCATACTGGGGAGGTAACGGTTGAGTTATGGGAGGCGCTCAAGGAGCAGCCCGAGACCGCCGCTGAAGCAAGGGATAAGTGGGAATGGATGGAGGATCTTACCAAGCCACCCATGTACATATGAGGGAGGAAAGGGCACAATGTATCCATTAACGTACAGCTGGAAACCCTAGACACCCGTGAGACGCATTCCCTGAAAGCGCTGGTAGACAGCGGGGCCACCGGCAGTTCCATCAACTGTGACTGGGCCCGAAGTCACGATCTCAGTCTCAAAAAGGCGGCCCGCCCGGTCCCGGTCTACAACGCTGACGGCACTCAAAATAAGGGAGGGGACATCACGGAATACGCCGAGGTTCGCTTACGTATCGGAGATCACGTGGAATGGATCGAGTTAGCCGTAGTGGACTTAGGAACTACTCCCCTGTTTCTAGGACATGATTGGCTGCAAAGACACAACCCGCTCATCGATTGGGACACAGGGGCAGTAACCTTGGCCCGTTGTACTTGTCGGAAGATTCCGTTCTCGCTCCCGGACACCGACCCCACCTCACGGTGGGATGAGTATGAGGAGGGGGACACTATTTTGGTAATTGACTTCGAGGAAGCATTCCAGGTACGAGCCATGGGGACCAGAGCAAACGAACTAGCCGCACAAGCCCACGCCAAAAAGACGCCCAAAACCTTTGAAGAGATAGTACCGGAGGAATACCAAGAGTTTAAGGACGTCTTTGACAAGGAAAACTTCGATGAGCTGCCCCCACGGAAACCCCGGGACCATGCCATCGAGTTAGTCCCCAACGCCAACGTGAACCTAGACTGTAAAGTCTATCCCCTCAACCCAGCGGAGCAAGAGGAGCTAGATAAATTCTTAGACGAGAACCTATCTACCGGCCGTATCCAAGCATCCAAGTCCCCTATGGCATCCCCTTTCTTCTTTGTCAAAAAGAAGGATGGGAAACTCCATCCCGTTCAGGACTATCGAAAGCTCAATGAAATGACCATTAAGAATCGGTACCCGCTACCACTTATTGGGGAGCTGATGGACAGGTTGAAGAAGGCCAAGTACTTCACCAAGTTGGATGTACAGTGGGGGTACAACAACGTCAGGATCAAACAAGGCGACGAGTGGAAGGCCGCATTTCGAACCAATCGAGGCCTCTACGAGCCCCTTGTAATGTTCTTTGGCCTTACAAACTCTCCTGCCACATTCCAGTGGATGATGAATGACATCTTTAAGGACCTCATCATGGCCGGGGAGGTATCGGTGTATTTGGACGATATCCTTATCGCCTCCCGGACCAAGGCAGACCATTGGCACATAGTATGCAAAGTGCTGCAGATACTCCGAGAAAATCACCTGTTCCTAAAAGCCGAAAAGTGTGAGTTCGAAGTGGAGGAGACCGAGTACCTGGGGGTGCTTATTAGCAAAGGAAAGGTTTGCATGGACCCGGTAAAAATTGCAGGCCTTCTGGATTGGCCGATCCCCTGCAAGAAACAGGAGTTACAATCCTTCTTAGGCTTCTGCAACTTCTACTGGAGGTTCATTCGTGACTACAGCAAGCACGTCAAACCCCTAACCTCACTGACGGGGAAAGTAGAGTGGAAATGGGGGGAGGCTCAGCAACGGGCGTTCGAAAGGTTGAAGGAGTTGTTCCGCGAAGACGTCGTATTGGCAATACCCCTGGACCAGGGAAGGTTCCGAGTAGAAGCGGACTCCAGTGAAGGAGCTATCGGAGCAGTGCTCTCCCAATGGCAGAATGAGAAATGGCGACCAGTAGCCTTTCTCTCCAAGGCTTTATCCGTAACGGAGCGCAATTACAAGATCTATGACAAGGAGCTCCTTGCCATCATGATCGCGTTAGAAGAATGGCGCCAGTATCTTATGGGCGCCAAAGAAGACTTTGAGATCTGGACTGACCATTCTAACCTCCAGTATTTCCAAAAGCCCCAGAAACTCAATCGACGACAAGCCCGATGGGTGACCGAACTTGCCGAATACCAATTCACGTTGCACCACAAACCCGGGGCCCAAAATCGCAAGGCAGACCTACTGTCCAGACAAGCCGATCACGACCAAGGGAAGGAGGACAACAAGGACATGACAATCCTGAAACCCGTGCACTTTCGAGCCCTGGTCATGCCCACCCAGGAGGAGCTGCATGAAGAGATTAAGCTGGCTACTCACGATCCCTGCAAATGGGATCGAGGCATCTCCGACTCTCTCAATCACGAAAAAGGGATCTCACGAGATCAGGGGCTGCTGTAGTATGACGGATGCATCTATGTACCCACAGACAGATGGCTACGGGGGAAGATTATCGCACTACAGCACGACCATGTAACTGCCGGGCACCCGGGCATAGAAAAGACCAAAGAGCTCATACTACGAGACTATTGGTGGCCTCGGATGCACCGAGAAGTGGAAGCGTACGTTAAAGGGTGCAAGGTTTGTCAACGCACCAAAGCAGATCGTCGCCCGAAGAAGGCTCCTCTCCACCCAAACCAAGTTCCCGCCAGCCCATGGACTCATATCTCGGTTGACATGATCACCAAACTCCCGGACTCCAAGGGTTATAACTCCATTCTGGTCATAGTCGACCGGTTCTCCAAGACCATCATTCCGATTGCGTGCACCGAAGAACTCACGTCCATCGATTTCGCCAAAATCCTCAGAGATCACATCTATGTACCCTATGGAATCATGCCGGAGAAGGTAATTTCAGACAGGGGGGCGGTCTTTGTGTCCAAATTTATGAAGGAATTCTACGCCCTTCTCCGTGTAACGGGAAATCCCTCTACGGCTTATCACCCTCAGACGGACGGTCAGACAGAACGAGTCAATCAAGAAATCGAGAAATACCTCAAGATGTTCGTTAGTTATCGACAAGACGACTGGAGCGAATGGCTACCGCTAGCAGCCTTCACTCACAACAATTGAAAACATTCTGCGACCGGTTTCTCTCCATACAAGGTAGTGTTCGGAAGGGATGGGCAAGTCATCAGGATCACCCAACGACCAGACGTAGTGCCCGCAGCCACGGAACTAGTTCAGGGTATCCAAGAGGTGCAGGAGAAGGCGAAGGAGTCCTTGGAACAAGCAGCCGAGTCCATGAAAAAGGCCTACGACAAACACAAGGACCGAGCAGTAGCATACCAGGTTGGCGACAAGGTGTGGTTGGATTCTACCAACCTAAACCTCCCTCGCCCCACCAAAAAGCTTGGAGACCGACGAGTGGGACCCTTTACCATCCTGGCAAAGAAGGGCGCTTCAGCCTACGAACTTAAACTCCCCGCGGGGTGGAGAATTCACAACCGATTCAATGAGTCTGTGCTGACCCCTTATCGGGCCCCGGGATTCCCTGATCAACCCCGACCTGAACGACCGCCTCCCGAATTAATTGACGATGAAGAGGAATACGAGATCGAAGAGATTGTTGACCAACGCGACAAAATAGTGGGAAGGGGACGGAACCGACACATAGTAACCGAGTACCTGGTTAAGTGGAAAGGTTACCCTTCGGAAGAAAACTCGTGGCAGAAGCGGTCTAATATGGCCAATGCAGAAGAGCTGGTAATGGAGTATGAAGCCCGACTTCGCAGGATTCAGTGGGAGGTGGACAAACGCGGACGGAGGGTGGGGAAGGACACCAACATACCCCGAGACCTTCTGATACAATACCATGAACCAAACACCCCTTGTGTCACTGACATCGAGACTGTGTACTCATCACAATGCTCGGACCCGAGACACTCTGACGCCCAACAAGACTCTTATCCCTCCTCTGAAATCCTCGATATCAATTTGGTTGGAGAAGTGGATGGATCAGATGCGGGACAAGACATAGGGCCGGTATCAGTTAGTGGGTCTTTTCGGAAGTTGATCACCGACATCTCCGAAGCCATGGACAAAGCGCTACTAAAGAAAAACAAACAATACATTCGCGATCATCCGAGCGAGGGCGGTTCCATTGAACCATACCCCCGTCAACGTCTTGAACATAAATTCTATGACCCCCGCGTACGGGACTCCTATTTAAAGCGCCGTAAACTCGAGATCGAAGCCTCGTGACGTGAAGGCCGACCATATGAGAATCCTCCCGTCCTTCTCGATCCTCCCTTTGAAGATGACTCCGACGTCAACCTACTCCAAAAGGTCACCGAAAATTGGAATGATGATGAGCGGACCTCCGATATTGAGTCCTATAATACCGATGGGGAGGGCTCAGATGACTCATTCAGGACGAACGAGTCTTAGAGAGGGGGTAATGTTACGATCTATTCATTTTTCTTTGTACTATCAGCATGATTACTCATATGCGATCCTGATGGATCATTTCTCACAGTACTATTATTAGCGTACCCACTTGTATTTAAGTAGAGCCCTCGCTGGTCTAAACCCCAGCTTCGGCTAAGGTTTAATCTACCTAACATCGAACTCCATCCTTCGTGACTATTTGTCCCATCGACTTTCATCGCCTTTGACTTGCTAGAGCGTCTCCTGCCGAAGTGCGAGCAGAGATCCTAGCACGATCTAAGTCGATAGAGTTAGTGGCTAACAACTAATGACTTCCTTCAAGGGTAGCACCTGATAGTAAGGAAAGATTGAATGTCAGTACAGATAAGATACAACAAAGGAATGAGAAGAACCTAAGGAGACTTGCTGATATTGTCGTCGCTGTCATCCCTTCCGGCACTACCACTTGATTCCATGGCCCCTAGGAGCTTGACCTTCTTTGCATTGAAATGTTTTGCGCTGCCGAAAATGATCTCCCGCCATTTTTCATCATCGTAATCGCAAACATGCTTGTAATACTTGTTGGCAGTCGTTCCCCAAGGATCATCTTTGAAGCTGTTTGTGTTGTTTTTTGAGTTCAATTCGACACTGCTTTTGACGGAGTTAGTTCCACTCTTCCATAGTGTAAGCGCGTGCTTGACCTGAAGATGATGAGTGTAGAATAAACCAATGACTGGAATGGAGGTACATACCGCTGAAGCAGCCACAGCGAGACCGGCCACAGGATTTCCGTGTCCATGAGGGGTGTTCATAGTTGCTTGAAGATGATACGCAAATGTTTCTAAGATGAGTGGTTCACGAAATGCCCCCCGATTGTCCTAGAAACTTGACATGAAGCCTGACTACTACAACAGCTAGTATTCAGTGTACGCACCTCCTTTTCGGGATACTGATAGAGGAACTTCGAGCCTTTGAGCTGATCTGTTACCCATGCACTCCGCTCCTCCACAGTCGCATACTTCTTCATGTCTTGGCATTCCCAGTTGTGTTCAACTGTTCGGAGAGCTTCTTTGCCAATGTCGCTACGGTGTGTACGTATTGCTGCAGCACCCTATCATTCAATGGCAATCAAAGTCTCATTGGCATAAAAATGGAAAAGGTACATACAACACTGTAGATTGCTGGGTGGTCAGCGCGCGGCTTGCTGTCGTCAGTGTGCTTCTCAGAAAGATGAGAGAAGATCTTCTTCCAGAGGCCTTGGATAGTTGCTTTGAAGTTGGGATGACTGGTCATTCCAAACGGCTCGGGAATATCAGACATAGCCCAGTCCAGCAGTGACAGAATAAATTTCTGTTGCCATATGGGAAGATCACGCATGATGTTGTCAAAAGGAAGGTGTTGATTCTTCCATTTGACTTTCTTCCCATGCTCTTGCTTGTCTATCGCTTGCACATCAGCCTCCTGTAACACAATCTCGGGTGGATTTGCCTTCTGTGGAACCCACGTTAATATCTCGTTCATCATTAAATTGAGAATGACACCTTGTCGGCATCCTTTCCCCTCTTGGAACCCTTTTCCACCTTGATACCAACTTGTGCTGGCAACTCAATCGGATCGCCCAACGATGAAGCAGACGACATAGCCATCGATTGCGCATATACTCCCCGCCAATCCTTAGCCAGACCTCCCACCTCAGTAGTTTTGACTCGCTTCTGAGAGCTCTGATTCGTTCTATTGGTTACGATTTCAGTGAGCATGAGGCTAAGATCGCTTAGATAACAACCACTCACTGTTCATCAGAATTGGCTTCAACTTCCTTGCGTTTCTTTGGAGCCATGATAGTAGCTGGCTTTGGAAGAACTGGAGCCACGGGGATCTCTTTGCGTTCAGCAGTGATTGCATGTCGAAGTTCGAGTCACTCATCCTGTATAATAGGGGTCAGATACTGGCAGTGGGTTCTTGGGTAGGAGAAAACCAACCTTATGGTGCTGGGTAGCCGTTTTTTTACCTTTCCCCGTCTTCTTCTCTTCCTGTGGCTTTTTTTTGGATGCCGCCATCTTGGCCCACTTCATTTCCAGAAACTTGGTGAACTCCTCATCAATGTCCATCTGTCCCACATCCTCAGAGCCTGACACAGAACTCTCAGGCTGCTGATATTCGTCTGATGATGTCGTATCATTGTTAGTGTCATCCTCGAGATCGACCTGGATGGATAACACGTCGGGAGTAGACATGTCCTCGATGTCACTACCACCGTCATGGTGGAGATCATCAGGGTGACTCCCTTCAGACTCACTGGTATGCGTGGTAGTCATGGATGGGAGAATGTCACCTTCTGCATCATCGTTATCATCCAATGCTGGGATGGCAAGATCAAATGCTGGACTGGGAATTGGCGAGGACACTGAGGATGCCTTGCTGGAGGCCGTTGCCACAGATGCTGTGGGTTTGGACATTGCTTGAACTGAGGGTCCCCAAGCCATGATGGCAGGCGACTGGCGCAAAACGGAGGCGACGGACTGTTGGGAAACTTTCGGTAAGCTTTTTGATGTATCGAGGTCAGGTCGAAGAGATTGAATGGCCTTATCCTCTAGGAGCTGCTTGTCTTCTTGAGCAGCGACTCGCATCGCCATCCTCTTTTTCTTGCCATCCTGCACTTCCTTTTTCTGCACCTTGGCTTCCTCCTGCTTCCACTGCTTGGCTTCCCGAGCCTCTCGCTGTTCCTGTCGAGTATGCTTCTTGAGCTCATCAGGAACATTGGCTTTGGCACCGTGAGTGTTCATTTGACTAGATGTTGACGTGAGAGAGAAAGAAATATTTGTTGCCGCGGAAACATTCGGAATCACACCATGAACCAAAAATTTGCTTCCACCTACACAGCCTGTTCCGACAACTCAAACATCCATCATGTCCACTTCTCGACGTCTCACCCAGCGCCTTGTCTGTGTTGTTCAAGGATGTAATCAAACCTTCAGAACTCAATACGGTCATACGCAGCATATCAATGCAAAGCATACTGGCATTGACATGCAACCATCTTCTTGCCGACCTGAGTTGGTATCCTGCAATAGTGAGAGAGATGCAGAGCAAATATCCAGCCCTTCATTCATGGATATTGATGATGAGCCTAGTCATGCCGGAGACAATGAAGTACACGATCCACCCACCCCACATGCTACTAAGCATTTTCATCCGCATTTAACCGGTTCATATTGCTTGTATCCTCTTCAATGTATATCTACAATTTATGTTTGCTTGTAAGTCTACCATGTGATTCTCAAGGGAATTTCTTGCCTACTGGCACACCACCATCATCGCCTGTCCAACCTGAGAATGTTGCAGAGCCCTTTATGGATCCGCTTCAATTTCGAATCGCCGATTTTCTGTTTCGAAAGGTAGAGATGTCGCAGGGAAATATCAACGAGCTTATGGAGCTCTGGACTCTTACGATGCTCAAACATGGCGACTTCGGACCCTTTGAGAACCACGATGAGATGTACAAGTTAATCGATGCTATCCAGCAAGGTAGTGCACCTTGGAAGTGTTTCGTCACCCAGGTGGATGCGAACCTTCCTCCCACTGCGCCAAGCTGGCAATGCAATCAATATCAGATTTGGTATCATGACCCCGACATGGTCATCAGCAATATTCTAGCCAACCCCGATTTCTCCAATGAGTTCGACACTGCCCCATATGTTGAAGTCAGTTCAGATGGGAAGCGGTGGTGGTGTGACTTTATGTCTGGGAATTTCGCATGGAGACATGCAGTACATGCTTTCTCAGACTCACTGGAATGATGTTAATATAGCATTGTTTAGAGTCGAATACACCAGGAGGATCCAACCATGGCAGGAGCAATGTATGTCGGCATCATCTTGGGTAGTGATAAAACAACGGTATCTGTTGCTATGAGTAATGTCGAGTATTATCCTTTGTATATTTCGATTGGAAACATCCACAATTCTGCATGGCATGGCCATCGTAATGCAGTAGTACCAATTGGCTTCCTCGCTATTCCCAAATGTACGTGTCTTGAACATTAACAGTTTGGCTCATCTGATTGGCTTTTTATAGCAGATCGCAAGTACGATGATGACCCTGTGTTTCGAACCTTCAAGAAGCAGCTCTACCATCAATCCATTGCAGTGATTTTGCAATCTCTAAAGCCTGCTATGATGGAGCCAGTCATTCGACGTTGTCCTGATGGGCATTTTCGACGGGTGATTTATAATCTGGCATCCTTTATTGCCGACTATCCTGAACAAGTTCTCCTCTCGGGAATTGTATCTAGATGGTGCACAAAGTGAGTCATTAATTCTTTTATATTTTGGTATAAACTCAGACCAGTACAGGTGCACGGCACTGTCAAGTGATTTAGATGGAGAAGGTGGGCGACATACCCAAGAGCTTACTCAATTGCTCTTGGATGAGTTTCGTGATGAGAGCGATACATTATGGTATACCTACGGCATCGACAAAACTACAAAGGTATGTGTACTATGCATGTCAGTGTTTTGTACACTGATCTCAAATAAATAGCCATTCACGTTCCATTTTCTGCGTGCCGACATTCATGAGATTTTGACTTCTGATCTCTTACATCAAGTGATTAAAGGCTCTTTTAAAGACCACCTCGTGGAGTGGGTTGGGGAGTACCTTCTTCAGTCAGAGGGAAAAGACCGAGCACGGGAGATCATGGATGACATTGATCGCCGGTATGTGGACTTCAAGTTATTTGTTACTTAGCTTGTCTCACCAGGCTGCAGTATTGCTGCAACTCCGGCTTTTCCAGGCTTGTGATGTTTTCCTCAAGGCCGACGCTTTAAACAATGGACCGGAGACGATTCTAAGGCTCTTATGAAGGTATGTTGTGTGAGATTGTCTGTTTGTGCATCCTCTTACAGTTTGCCTGGTCTTAAGGTCTATCTTCCTGCTGTTGCTGACTATCTCCCAGAGGAAATGATGCAATGTTTGGCATCGTTTCTTGACTTTTGCTATCTCGTCTGTCGCACCGACTTCAACGAAGATACCATTCTTGAAGTCGAGTCTGCCATGGCACGCTTCCATTACTACAGACAAGTTTTCATTACCACTGGGGTCCGTGATACCATCTCTCTTCCTCGTCAGCATTCCCTTGTCCATTACTGGCAACACATCATTGATTTTGGGGCTTCGAACAGTCTCTGTTCCTCAATTACGGAGTCGCGCCATATCACAGCTGTTAAAAAGCCTTGGTGTCGATCTAACCGTTATAATGCCCTAAGCCAAATGCTCTTAACAAACCAACAACTTGATAAGCTTGCTGCACTGCGTTCTGAACTTGTGAACTATGGTCTTGTCACCCCAAATCACCCTCCTCCACCGGATCCTTTTGATCTTGAGAGTGAAGATGTTGGAGCTGTTGATGAGCTGATTCTTGCAGAAGTCAAACTCGCTGTCACTAAAGGTAATTGACTTGTTCATTAACACATAAACTTCTTATCTGATTGATTCCCATCCTGCAGAACGTGCATATCCTCGCCGTCTCGAGCGCTTGGCACAGCACATCCACTGTCCAGATCTTCCAGAGCTGGTTTGACGTTTTCTATATGATCATCTTCGTCATGAGAACGACCCTCCCTCAGAAGATATCCACCTTGATGACTGTCCCGAGATCATGTCCAACATATATGTCTACCACTCTGCTGTGGCATCCTTCTATGCACCTAGTGACATTTCCAGAGTCAGAGGTATGCGCCGGGAACGTATTCGGTCGACCCCATCTTGGCATAAACGTCCATGCCATGACTGTGCATTTGTTGTCAAGGACGAGGAAAAGCCTGGCTTCTCTGGGATGAGTGTTGTAAGAATTTTACTTTTCTTCTCATTTGTTCATGAGGGGGTGACCTATCCATGCGCACTGGTGCAGTGGTTCAAGAAGCATGGGCAACATGCAGATAAGAAGACAGGCCTCTGGATTGTTAAACCTGAGGTAGCACAGGGTCGTCCGGTTATAAGTGTTATTCATCTAGATTCACTTTTTCGTGGTGCGCATATAATTCCCATGTATGGAACACATTCTGTACCCCATAGGTTTGACTACACCTATTCTTTGGACTGTTTCAAAGCTTTCTATGTAAATAAGTATGCAGACCACCACACAAATGAAATTATTTTCTCCTGAGCAGTAGTGCAGCCTGATTCCGAGTGAGTTCTTCGAACTTAAGGGTAGAAATTCCCAAAAAAGAAGGATGATTGTGACACCATGTGACCATCATGTCACTATGCATCGTAGAAACTCGGGTCTTATTGCCTCTTATCTGCAAACAACGATGTTACGCCCTTGAAGAGCTAGCAGCTATGGGAAGGTCCAGTTATGTTACAAGACTGTGGGCCAGTAGTATGAGGAGGCTTGGACTTGGTGCTAGGTGTGTACTAGTATGCTCTCTTCATTTGACAGGCAAACTCATTTTTACGCTGTTTACTAGTAACAGCAGCTCACTGCAGAGTCCTCGTGTCAACACCATCAGTGTAGAGACCAAATTCACACTGCCAGAACTCCCCTCACCATTGATCTTGTTGTCGTCAGCCCTCTCAGAGGCAACAGCTTCAGTTTCTGTTGGTACTAGCACTGGTGATATACCAAGTGCGGCTGTTATTGCTGCATCCCAGCAGCTCAACGTGTTTGGACAGCCCATCCTTGTCCTCCCATCATCCCTGCCATCACCGATCTCAATGCCTCCAGTGAGCTCTCTGCCTGGTCTGCCGTCCTTGTCCCAAAATTGTTACGGTTTATTCATTTCTTTTCTTTTTCTTCGTATTACTCAGCCTGATTACGTGTATGCGATCATGACGGACGCATTCTCACAGTACTATTTTTAGTTTACCAACGTGTATTTAAGTAGAGCCTCCGCTGGCCTAAACCCCAGCTTCGGCTAAGGTTTAATCTACCTAACATCGAACTCCGTTCTTCGTGACTATCTGTCCCATCGACTTTCATCGCCTTTGACTTGTTAGAGTATCTCCTACCGAAGTGCGAGTAGGGATCCTAGCACGATCTAAGTCGATTAGAGTTAGTGGCTAACATTTAGCCGAAGCTCGTCTTCCATTGCCCAACGACGTACCGTTGCCCAACATACTACCAATCGTTCTCTTAACCGTCGTCACACTCTCGGTGCTGCGATTCCTCCTTAACGACCCCCTTGGACTGGTCCTAGTAACCGTCCTCCGAACCCTCCTTGCCTGCGTATACATCCCGTCCCCGCTGTTTGCAGGACTACTCCTGCTCTTCTGGGTCGGCTTTCTACGCCATTATTAAAAACACGAAACCCTTTATCCTCACCCTTCAGCTTGCCTCTATATTAACAATTTTATTGTTAATATTGACGAGCACCGCCGAAGATTGCGAAATCCTGTTGATGAACAGTTCCCACTACGAGACCGACCTCAGCCTGATCATCGTGGTCCTCATTGTCCTTACCATACTTGCTGTCTATCAGCTTGCATGGTCAATCGTCGACCTACACCAAGGATAAATCCACTCACGGATGCCCTGGTCCGACTCCATTCCCGCTGTCTTCGCGACTTTCATACTCTTTTTCTTGTCCATTACTTTGTACCATCTACGCCGCTGTTTCCAACGGCAGAGGCAAGTTCACGCCCAACTCCTGTTCCACTACGTTCCGAGCACACCGGCGTATCCCCCGCCCATAATTCACATACCCGCGGCATCTCAGCAGACGATAGGAGATGTCAGATCCAACGCCTCTGGGGAACTTGGAGGATCCCTCTACACATCGTCGCGACCCAGCTCGCGATCCTCAGAGTCGAGCACAGACTCCTACAGAAGCGCTTCCAGCGCAACCGTCGACTCAGTCGACATCACCGATACCAGGAGGGTACTCCTCGACCGAGGAGACTCGCCCCTACCAGGCCTCTTCGATATCGCTCCAGTCGAAGGCGAGTCAAGCACCGACGGAGCCGGAAGACAAGACACCAGGCATCTGGAGCCACGCGAAGAAGGCTCTGACACCGAGTTCGAAGGGGACAAGCTCACCGAGTGGGAAAGGACCTGACTCGACGACCTCTACCCTAATACGGAGGAAGATGCGACCTATACCGGAGATGGCTACAGCGGAAGGTCCGGAAACTGGTGGACAGACGCCGTCTGGCGCAGTGAGAGCAGGAGATACAGGGTCGCCCAGGAGGACGACTACGACAGTGATTCCGGAGAACTTGGCCTCGGAGCCTCCGCGGCTACCACCCGTTCAACTGGATCACAGCCTGTTTCAAGGTCCTGGCCGACCGATAGGGGAGAGCCAGTTGGCTGGCACCCCAGTACCAGCTGGGTCTACGCAGACAGGCAAGAGACTGTTGTGGCCGGAGTCACACCCGGAGGAGAGCCCCACCAGATCCCTGAAGGGGCCGAGACACCGACACTCGCTCCCGCCGTCCCCTCGTACAAGCCAACGAGTGGGGAGCTTTGGAGCAAGTTCCCAGACTACGACGCCGAGGAACTTGGAACAGTTACCGTTTCCGAGCGACTCGCCGGAGTCTCCAATTGGGAACCGTCCGTCTCGTCGCGAGCCTTCGCCGACCCCGTCCCTGAAACCCAGCGTCCTTGGACGCTCCTCTATCACACACTCGTCGAGTCGCTCCAGCTCCCTCGAGCTGCCCGGGAATCCCCAGAGTTCGAGGCCCGCATGGACCGAGCAAGAGCGGCAGACCTACGCACTCGACGCGCTGAGATCGCCGCCCTTATCGGGCCCCACGGCTTCTATGACCTCCCCCTCGAGCCCGACGCCACTCGCATCGAGGTCGAGAACAGGCAGCATGCAGCGGCCCTTCGATACTCAGGGCTTGTCGAGCGAGCAGGAACCGATCTCGAGGCCCGCCAAAGAGCCTGGCAGGCCTATGAGTCAGAAATCACTGACCCCGACTCCGATATCAGGCGGTGGAGAAGGAATCAGGCGCTCGACCGACTCGCCCGAGAGAGGCAGGAGGCCAAGGATGCCGAGTCGACCGCCGAACAGCGCCCTCGAGGTCGAGGTAATGACGGCGGTCCGAAACCTCCTGGTCCACCCGCTGCACCCTCAGCCCACAATATTTAACATCTTGCCATGGCACGGTTTGTATGAGATCATGATGGAAGACATGGAGAGAGACTCCCAATGGCTCCTGACAGAGGTGGGAGAGGATTACCGATACGCGAAGGCCACGGGGGACGTTTATCTAATGAAGAACATCCTAGAAGTGGAAACGTGGCATCGGGCGGCATTGGTATGGAATATTGCCAACCCCAATCAGAAGCAGCAAGAGTGCGCGGCCTACCGACGGCCGCAACCAATGCCGAATCTGCTCGAAACCGAAGAGTTCTGGGCAGGTGCGGGGCCTGACGATGACGACATGGACGATCCCGGCGCGGGACCCTCGGACAAGGGAAAACAGTCCACGGTCCCGCCACTACCACCGACTCAACCTCCGCGACGACCGGCGTACCCAGGCGACTATCCCCCGCCTGGGGAAAATTATCGATTACGGTCGCTGCCACGACCACCAAATCCCCCGGTTCCCCCGAGGGCACCCTCACCTCCGGACCCCATACCGCCTTGGACATTGGCGACGGGAAAGGACGGTAATCCCTGGAACGACGTGAAGCCCAAGTTGATCACGCAACCCGAGTACTTTACGGGAGAACCCACGGATATTAACCGGTTCCTGCATCATTGCGAGATGTACTTCCAGGTGTTCCCACTCCACTTCACAATGAACGATCAGGGACAAAATCCTTACCGCATAACCTTCGCACAAGGGTATCTGCGCGAGAAGGCCAAGGATTGGTGGGGTGATCAGTACTACCGCTACAGGGACGATCGGGGCCATTGGAGGTTTCCAACATGGGACGAGTTCTCCCATGACCTCACGGTGGAATTCCAGGAAGTGGCGGAACTCGCAATATGGAAGGCGGAGTGGAAGAAGGTGCGACAGTCGGAATTTAAGACGGCAGTCGAGTTCTTCGCTAAGTTCGAACGACTGGCCCACAAGTGCGGGGAATTCGGAGACGAAAAGCAGATGTTCGAAGCCGTAGAAGCGGCGATTAGGCCGACAGTGCGAAAGACAGTTATGCATGGGGACAACGAGCGCCCCACAACCTACGCACAGTGGAAGGCACGAGTCCTAAGGATCGATGCCAACTACCGATACGACGTGGCCCAAGGCCTCGCCAGTAAGACCTCCCCGAACCAATCTGGCTCGGGTCGAGGCAATCAAAATCAATCGAAGGGGCAAGGTTCTAGTGGCGACAAGAAGGACGCCACAGGAACCACGTATGGAGGTGCCAGGCAGCCGATGGAAATCGACAAGCTCCGATCCGACAAGCGGTGCTTCAAGTGTGGGAACACTGGGTGGACCCCGAAGCATAAATGTCCGGATGACAAGTCGAAGTGGCTTCCCATCAAACTCCCCCCTCGCAAGAAGCCCAACGTCACCCGCCTCCGCCAATTACTCGCTGAAGCCGAGAAGGAAGAATTGGGAAAAGACACGAAGATCGAGGAAGTGAAGGAGGAGAAGTCGTCAAAAGACGAGCCGGCGTCGAAATAAGCGATTCGACGACGTCGGCCAAGGACTTAGTTTCACCTGGTGCGTGCTCATGTACTTCTAGTCGGACTTATACTACGTATGTAGGTACTCCGTTTGAACAATATATCAATTTTTTCGCCGCGTTACCAGTCGAGGAAGCTAAGCACGAGGAATCGCAAAACACCTATGGCGTAGGAGGGGATTTCCGCCGTCCTACGCAGTCAGCGATGGACAATGAACCCCTAGGGGCTGGTCCACCTCTGACACCCCCGCCTGACCGAACGGGGAAAGTTCTGGAGTACCCAGCGAGCGCCTCAGGTCAGGACAAGATGGACGCCAGACGTGGTGGTCGTCGCCCCGGCAGGGAGAATCGGCCGACGACTCCGATGGCAGGGCCTCCCTGTCCATATGTAGGCCAGGTTGTTCCTCCCGTCAGTAGTGGAAAAGCAGCTGAGGCCAGGACTCAAGGGGACCACCGACATTTAGTAGTGGCCTCATCCGCAAACGATGCCGACCCCCTTGACGAGCCAATATGTGTGCGTCTGCCCAGGGTTTCTGAGAGTACCGCCGGCGTTAGGAATGAGGATAAGTACCGGATCTTAGTGG